ACAGGTTTAGGAGCATGTTGTGCTTGACACGGTTCATTTAGAATTTTGATATGGGTGACACAATGATTTTGGCATGCAAAATATGGTAATTATAGTCAAGACTCATTTCTCTACACAGATTGAATTACAGAAATCTCATTTTGGGATATGTACTAAACTAGACACAAAAGCAAAGCAAACTAGATTAAACTAAGCTAGGTTTATTACTGTTTTCAATGGCATATTTTCTGTAAAATTAAAGTAAAAAATGCCTTAGCCCATTAGCTAATAAGAAAAGATAGACTTTTGCACAGTTGCTAGGTAATTCTGGATTAATACAAAAGCAGAAGCAGTGGAGGAGGTAGAAGCAGTATAAGTCTGGAAAATACATTAAAACGGTTTTGATATTCTCTGTTGTGGCTATGCTCTTCTGACCCACTCTGACCATGCATTATTGTATCCCATGTATGGCTCTTTGTAACTTAAAAATAAAATGAAGGCAATGTAAATAAAGTAATGCAAAATAACATATTCTATTGTAAAAAAAAAAAACGTAGGGGTAAACCCCAACCCCATGGTTCAGCTCTCTGTCCTATAAGGCATGATCCTGATTCCGTTGACCTCTGTAAGGACTGCTAGCATGAAGAATTGTAGCCTTGGGCATTAAGGGTGAGGTTTTCAGAGGCATTTGAGGGTATTTGAAATCCATTGAAACTCACTGAGAATTCAGCACCTAAATCAAAAATCCCAGCTTAAATGAGGGGCAAATATACCACTATTAGTCAGAAAACTCCATCTGTTTGCAAGGTGTAGAAAATACCATTATTGCAGGTAAAAAGCTCAGTTCATGGGATGGCAAAAAAATCAAATATCACCTATGTTTTTGCTTTTTTTGGCAGGTTACATATTTGGGTAAGATGTCCACAACAGGGATGCCATTTTTGTCAGGCTGCACAGAGAAACCCGTCATTGAATTATGGAAGCAGCACACACTAGCCAGGGAAGATATTTACCCAGCCAATGCCCTTCTGGAAATTCGCCCCTTCCAAGTCTGGCTTCATCATCTGGACCTCAAAGGTGAGGCCACAGTCCACATGGATACCTTTCAGGTGGCACGTATAGCCTACTGCACTGCCGACCACAACGTCAGCCCAAACATCTTTGCTTGGGTTTATAGGGAGATCAATGATGACTTGTCCTACCAGATGGACTGCCATGCTGTAGAGTGTGAGAGCAAACTAGAGGCTAAGAAGCTAGCTCATGCCATGATGGAAGCCTTTAAGAAGACTTTTCACAGCATGAAGAGTGATGGCCGAATTCACAGGAATAGTTCATCTGAGGAAGTGTCTCATGAATTTGAATCTGATGATGGCTGACTGAACTGGCTATTGTTTCAGCAAAGGCAGAAGCGGCTTAGGGAGTAGGATTTGATAGATAAATAAGCAACAATTGAAATCGGGAAAGAAAAGACTGCTAAACACGTGGCTGACCAGCTTTTAAAATCAAAAGAGGAATTCAGTATTGAAAGATATTCATTATTAAAGTAATTATGTTACATTGAAATCTGCTGCTGTTGTAAATGTGAGAAAAAGCTTCTCCCCAATACTTCATCTCTTTAACCCATTCCCCAATACCAACACTACAGGGCCTGTTATAGTTCAGGTATATACTTTGAGATGATTCATTCCAGTCTGCCTTATAAAACTCATCAAGCAGTTGTAATAGTTGATCCTATGGGATTCATAGCTAGGATCTGATACTGATGCACAACAGCAGGTAGAACAGGAAAGCTCTAGGCTCCCAAAGAATTAATCCTTTTTCCCTGTCATATTGCAAAATCCTTTGACCATACATAAGCTAAAACAACCATTCATAACCTTTTAAGATTAACGGCCTGGCATTCTGCAGTTAATTCACATTTCACAATTTTTAAAAAAATGCTTATATTTACACATTATAACATATGCTATTTGTATTTTACTTATTTTACCTATTTTCTTAATGTGCCTGCAGCCAGTCATCTCATGTTTAGCACCATTAGATCCAGTTTCAGACTCTATACTGCAGGATACCAAAAAAGGGAAAAATCCATGATGGCCAGTAATACAGTGAACCATCACTATTATCTGTTCACTTTCAAACTCTGATTTATTCCATAAGATGTTGGGCCACTGATGAGAGTTGAGTGACATGTTTTTAAGACTCTTGGTCTTTTACCCATTGAACTGTGATTTAGGATCAACCTCAGGTCTAAAGTGGTATGAAAATGATAGTGTAAACTCCACAGCAGTCAACATCACCAATTTATTGCCTATAATTTGACATAGCTAGTACTGCCTATTCACAAAATCTGGGGCTGTGTTATCATAAAGATCAAAGTGTCTTTGATAGTTGAAAGAGACTGGTCATTTTGAGTCAGGTTTGCAATGACTGTTGTGGCTGGGGATCTCACATTAAGAATCCCTGCACCCTTCCTGCTCCACAGACAAAAAAATCATAACTTGCATAAATGCAAGTATTTAATAAAACTCAGATAAGAGGCGAAACTTGTTTCACTAAATGTTTTTAAGGCCAAGAGCAGATTAATAGTTTGCAGGTAACGCTGCTCCTTTATACAATTTTGTTGTTAATCATGGTAATGTTAGGGGCACTAGGGCACCTTACAGAAGCCTTAAAACAAAGCTAATCAAAGCAGATAGGTATATGTTTGTGTTTTGTGGGTATACGTATATTGTGTGTGTGAGTGTATGTGTGCCTGTGTGTATGTCCAGCGCAAAAGCATGTAGATTAAGCATGGAGACATATTGAGGAGGACTCAGACCTCTTGAAATATGCTTGTTGCTTTACAACATATGTAAACTATTCTCCAGCATAAATGCATTCATACTTTAATAAAAATATGTTTGAGTTAAAGCCTGAGAGTTTTATGCTCTGTTTCCAATGTACTCTCCATGTTTTTGTTTGAAGTCCCATGTTTGCTTGTTAATCTATGTTTAAAAAAATGCCACCTAAATAATTTAAATGTATCATAGATGTTAATTTATTTCAATGTAATACTTTGCACCCATTTTTTTTCAGGATAGTGGGATGTTTATTGCTTCCTGTCAAATATTTTAGTAGAATCATTACCATCTATGACCAGTTTCTTTTTACTTTTATTTTAATGTTTAAACTTCTTGCTTGGCCACAGGTGACAGAGCTTTTCTTCAGAAAATGAGTTTAGTTTAAGAGCCTAAGTACAGACAGTCAAAAAGCTCAAGGCTGAATTGATTCAATCTTTGCAGGTTAGTTTTAGCTGCATAGATTGAATCAATGAGTAAGTGAACAGACATTCACTTTTGATTCCAAAAATGCAGCCACATGCCTGCAGTAGCTTGTCTCCCTGCTCTACTGCAGCATACAGCTTGAATCTAGAGGGGATCTGGACAGAACTTCAAAAAACTAATTTAAGCTAAATCAGCTAAGTCTGATTCTACATCCATCCAGGTTTATCTTAAACGGGCTTTGGCCATTTTAAAATTGGTTTATGTGCACAGAGCTTCTGTTGTGTTACGTATTTAAACGGGTTTCCAATCACTTATACCAGTTTATGTGCAATTTCTGTCCCTAGCTTAACTGAACAGAAAATGTATCCTGCATTCTGAAGATAAACTGTAGGATGGCTCAGGTCTGGGATGGTGTCAAAAAAGCAAGTTTTCAGAATAATTTATCATTGATTTTTTCAGTCCCAGTTGCAAAGAGAGGATCAGGGGCACAGAACCTTGATTCAGAAGGGCCAAAATATGGTCCCCAAAGATGAAATTTCCTTTCCTTGTGAGGCTGGTAAGAAGTTGGGTGCATATGTAGCCTGTATCTTTGTTGTAAACATGTCTGTTGTACAGGTATCTCTTGTATTGAAGAAAGACAACATTCCCTTAGCCTTGAGGCAAATTCTGTTATCTTCCACAGAGTGGTCACATTTTAGGAATTCTTTACTATTTTGGAAGTTTTCCAGCCAAAATCACTGCCAGTCAGCTTCTTAAGTTCATTGTCTTATCCCCTTTGCAGCAAAACAAGTGCCTCTCTGCAGATTTTCCTCTTGATTGCACGACTGTTGTCTACATATCGTATACCTTTTTTGCACCTAGACGGATTCAAACAGCAAGCATAATTAGAGAGGCGTTTATTAAAACCTGTCTTGATTAAGCAGCAACTTTCGCTGTGTTATGCCTTAAAGCCAGATTTTTACTAAATGGAGGCCTGATGTAAGTAAGAGTGATGGATGTTTACATTTTGCATCATTACTCATAATGTATCAGAAGATGGTTGCCAATTTTACAGAATTAAGTTACAAATTATAGCTGATATAATTAAATCTGGGTATGCTCAGGATGTTCAGAACAAGAGGACCTTGCTGTGAGCTCTACATTGTACCCTAATTAACAGCACAAGGTTTAAATTTTCTGACATTCATTTGTTTTTGGGAACGTTTAACATCAATTGTTGTATTTAATAGTCTGCAGTTGTCCCAAAGGAGTTTAGGGCTATACCATGTCAATAAAATTTTCATATGCAGATGAGGGTAATATATACTGTTTACTATTTATTTATCAATTTTGTGTATATTGCAGAGATGTTTATTGTGGCTATTTATCTTCTGTTTTCATAGTTTCATAGTTTCTAGGGTCAGAAGGGACCTAAGAAGATCATCTAGTCCGACCCCCTGCCATGGCAGGAAAGAGTACTGGGGTCAAACGACCCCAGCAAGGTGTTCATCTAACCTCTTCTTAAAAACCCCCAGGGTAGGAGCCTGCACCACCTCCCTTGGAAGTTGGTTCCAGACCCTAGCTGCCCTGACCATGAAATAGCGCCTTCTGATGTCTAACCTATAATAATAGTTGAATAATAGTTATTTTTAAAATAGCTAAAACCAAAGGCCTGGTTCCCATGGCTGATGCAACCTTTCAACAAACAACAGAATAGGCTAGAATTGCTTATCATTAGTTTTATTTGCACCATTTCTTCTGAACAGAATTTCTTTCTCTCAAACACCAAAGTTTCCTAGGATTAGATTATCCCAAGACTATGTTTCTAAACCTCTGAAAACAGTTCTGACTTAATTAAAGCAATGCCTGCGGTGCCCTGATCCCCAATAACCAGATAGAAGATCAGGGGCTTGTTCAAATAGTTTTACTCCTTATTGCCCCTTAACATACTACACTAATGTCTCAAAGCTTACCCCCACCCCATCTAAGCATATTTAACAACCTCCCATGAAAGAGGTGATGCGTCTCTTTCAAATTAAATTAGGTAGTTGCAATTGTCAGAACATCCATCTCTAAGTGTGTCTGCCAGCAAACTCTCCATACCAAAATGTCTTGTCCAAGAGTTATATTACGTAAAGAACATTGATGGCTGCGAACTTTTCACCTGTGAAATAGAGGATGATTTTAGGACTTTGAATACACAACCACAGTCCTGCATTCAATTACAGGAACATGGAAAAACAGGCCATTCCTTTGCTCAATATAGAATGGGCTCCCACCCTCTCACAACTCTTCCCCTGCACAGTTCATTCCAAGAAGTGACCAACTTCAGGCATTTGTTGAAAATCCTGTTAATCTACATTGTCAGGGATCTGAATACCTTTGAAATTCTTGGGACAAATTTTCATTGGTTAGACACCTAACCAGCTTTTAAAAATCTCACAATAACTGCATCCACATGAGCGTGGATGTCTGTTTCCAGGCGACAGCTAGCAGCAGGATACCTTGTGCTGCTGCTAGTTGTCCCGAGGGAACACCTGTGCCATGTGCCTTCTGGCACATGGCAGATTACCCCAGGTGGAGCAGGGGAGGCTGGGGTGAGCACTGGGCTTACCCCAGCAGCCTTACCTGGGGTTCTGGGGGCCTTCTAGAGCTGCAGTGGCAGGGATCTTGCTGCTCAGAGCCTGGCCGTCAGCTGGAGCATGGCTCCAGCTGGCCGTACTCTAGTTTTGAGCAATGCACCCTGACTCATGCATGTGCTGTTCTGTTTTTTGTTTTTTATTTGTTTTTCTGTTTTGTTTTGTTTTTTGCACAGGTTTTAGGGGGACTGGAAATCCAGAGATCAGCCCTGCACCCCCCGGCCCCCCATGCTGCTCCCTTGCAGCATGGAGAACATCTAAATGCGTGGTATGTGGTGTTGTAGACATGTCTGTGATGCCACATACCACATGGCCGTGCTCATCTGGACATGGCTTATGTGCTTATTGGCATCTTAAAAGGCCAGAATGCCTTTGAAAATCTGTAGTGTAAGAGTGATGTTGTAGCCATGATGGTCCAGAAATTATGCAAGAGAGTGTTTTTGCAATTTCTTTGGGTAATATCTTATTATTGGAACAACTGTGTATTTGGAATAAAGTTAGACAAGAGACCTGAGGAAGAATGTCTTGCATTCTAAAGCTTGTCTAACTTTATCCCAACTGCATAGTTGGTCCAATAAAAGATATCACCCTAATAAATCCTTGCCTTTCTTTGAAAATCTGGTCATGTGCTTGCCTTAATTAGAGTTTATTAAACCATGTTACTTTTTGCTTGTCATTATACATGTTCAGGTATATATATGGGAGAGAGGGGAGCGGGGGGAATTTTTTTTCGAGGTACTACTTGTATGAATTGATGTCCACATGAGGTTCTAGAATGCAGCATTGCCATTTGAATCTTTTGAACTCCTGTAGATGAATACATGAGAATTTAACTTTTACTAAAAAAATTAAGGTAATTGGCTTCATGGTTCTGGAGGAAAAGTTGAAAACATAGAAACTGAAATACCCCAAAACAAATAAAAAGGATTCTAGATTTATTTTGATAATCTGTTTAAAGGGGCCTTATAATCATGGGGGGGAGGGGTCATGACACAAGATTTTTAACGTTAGCAATACTGTTTGAATATGGTGGTGATACAATAATGCTATGTGAGTTTGAAGAGAGTCTATTCAAACAGAGTTTTGCAAGCCCTGCTTAAAAACCAAAGCAACTGAGGATACATAGGATTGAACTATGGTGATAGATAGGTAATGTGGCTAATGGGCAGAACGCTGTTCTGCAAAGCAGGAAACCCAGAGTCAACTCTTGTCTCTGGAGTTGGTATGCTCATGTGGTATACTTAAGAGTCACTTCTCTTCCCCTTGCTCAATTTTCCTCATCTGTAAAATACAGATGAGAGTAACTTCTTTTAGCAAATGCCTTGAAACTACTGTAGAAAATTTTACCTAAGTTTTAGTTATGATAATGTTGATGATTAGGCAAAATAGGCTAGGCTTTTATTTTTTAATGTCCTATTAAAGGAATTTAAATCTGCAAAGGTATCTTTATGCCTATCATGTTATGAAGATCTTACATATATAAGTAGTGTGCCGATAACTCTCCGACATTCATTATGGTTGGTTAATTTAGAATTTTTTTCTGCATTGCATCTCTTCCATCTTTCAGAAATATTATTCAGTAATCTGTTTCTCAGCAGTTTTTCAGAATGCTTAAATATAGGGCACCAAGTATTTTTTTCATTACTGAGGCAAAGCAAATGGTCCCATCTGGCTGAAAGAAAATGATTTGGTCCATTAATGCCAATGTTGAGGAAAGTCAGGTACAGTCATGCATGAAACATCATAATTAGGTTCCTCTTTAACTGGTTTGATTCTTCAGCAATCAAGAACATATATCAGATATTATTTCCTCTAAAATATATTATGTATATTTTGATATCTGAATAATCTCTGATATGTTCTTGATGCAGTCATTGTGAGATTGTGAGATATTTAATATATATATATATATTTTAAATAAGGGCCCTGGTACACATTCAAATTAAATCTGAATAGAAACCAGCTATAAAGCTGTTACACATTTTCAAGCACTACCTTTATGGTTGATTGGCTCTTTTTATAGCTGGATGGT